GTGGATGTCACTGAAGAAGATGCGGGTGGGGGTGCCCGGGGAGTGCCTGCTCGGTAGTCGAAGGCCAGAGCAATGACATTTTTCATGTGCTTAGGGTCCTCGAAGGCCTGCACGGGTGCGCTGAGATTGCGCTCATCCGACAGGTGGATGCTCTTGAGGATGGAGCGCTCCGAGTAGAGCAGGTAGCCAGCATACTCGCGGCACGACGCCCCGTCTTCAGCCAGCATCCCGTGGGCGCAGGCGCAGGCCCGCTGCCCGCCACCCCGGTACAGACACAGCTGCTGGTCCCCACCGTTGGCCACTGCACACACGTTGGTGCCTGGGGGAGGGCGCAGGGGAAGGAGGAGGCGATGGAGGGCGGGGCCTGCCTTGGGGGAAGACTCATGGGCGCCTGTGTCATCTCAGCTGAGGTGGACACTCTGGGCCCCCTCCCCTGCCTCCCCCAGTTCAGACACCCTCCAGCCAGCACCAGTCCGGTCCTAGGGCTCCCCAGCCCCTGCTCGCCAGCCCTGGGTCTCCAGGGCCCCGGGAAAGTGCCCCTTGGGGTCTCACTGCTCTCCCAGCCCCCTCGCTCTGGGTCCTGGGGGTGAGCACGCAGGCCGGGCCCCCCGGCCTCACCTTTCTGGCGGTCCCGGTTGAAGACCTTGATGTCTTTGAGCTGGACACCGATGCCCGTCCGCAGGGGCACTGAGTCCGTGGCATTGTCTTTGCTCCCGCGCTTGATGGAGCCATTGGCGTGAGTCCTGGGGGAGGGAAGGGCCATGAGCAGGACGTCCACCGGGGCCGGGAGGGAGGGCACGGACGGGGCGGATGGGAGCTGGCACGGACGCCCTCACCTGTCACTCCAGTAGATGAAATCCTCAAACACAGACACGGAGAACATGTCCATGTTGTTGCTGGACAGAACCACCTCGCGGTTCTCCCCCGTCTCCAGGTCGATCCGCTCGATCTTGTCCGTCCGGGCGTCGCACCAGTACAGCTTCCCATCCTACAGGCCAGAGGCACCACCTCACCTCCAGCCCCAGGCCCCCTCCGCCCCCACCCACCCCGTCACACTCACTCCCGACCCTTCTGTCTCTCCTCCTTCCTCCACCTCTTCCACTTTCCGACCTGCTGATCTGCCAGCCTCCAGGGTTCCCTCCAGGGTTCCCTCCAGTCCCCACTCTGGGTAACCCTCCCCCAACACCTCTAGGGTGGCAGGAGTCCTACTCTGGGGGGGGCTGGGCCAGAGGACCCCGTAACTCCCTGCGCCCATATCTTCCTACCAAGTGGGGGGCCGTTACAGGGGGACTCACAGGGGAGCAGGGCATGGGATGAGGGGAGCTTCCCTAGAGCACGGGGTCCTTCCCCCCGGCCCCTGGGCCACGCCTGCACCCACACCTGATAGTCCACCGAGATGCCGTTGGGCCAGCTGATGCTGACGTTAACCAGCACCACGCGCTCGGTGCCATCCAGCCGAGACCGCTCAATCCGTGGGTACTGGCCCCACTCGGTCCAGAACAAGTACCTGTGGGACGGAGGGGCACAGGGGCTCAGTCCCCAGAACACGGAGGAGTGGGCCCTGTCAGTGCGGGCTGTGGACTGGCCGGCCTGCCCGGCTCCTCACCCCTTCTCCGGATGGACGGTGATGGCCCGGGGCTTGTCCAGGCCCTGGGAGATGACCACGTAGCGGAAAGAGCCATTGAGCCGGGCGACCTCGATGACGTCAAAGCCCTGGTCCGTCCAGTAGATGTTGCCTGAGGAAGGAGTAGGTGCTCAGTGGGGTGGGGTGGGAGCACGCGCACGGGGGCCCCTCCCAGCCCCAGGTGCCCCTGCCGCTCCCCCGTCTGTTCCTGCCGGCCCCTTCTCCTTAGACCCCTCCTGCCAGGACCCCTCTTCCCCATCCTCTGCCTCACACGGAGCCTGCACCCTGCCGTGGCTCACCTGCAATCCAGTCCACGGCGATGCCCTCCACGCGGCCGATGCCATTGGTCACCACATCCTCACGCCACGTCTGGTCTCGCTTAGCCCGGCTGATGGTGCTGAGGCCCATGTCCACCCAGTAAATGGTGTCATTTTCTGAAGGTGGAGAAGCCAACGTGGGGATGCCGAGCAAGGCAGGGCCGGGGGGGTGGGGGGGTCACAATCACGTGGGGTCAGGACAGAGGTGAGTGGCTGCTGGTGGGGCTTGAAGGGCAGATGGAGGGGGTGGGCAGCTCTGCTAAGGGCCTGAGGTCAGGCAGCCTGACCCTGGACCCCAAGCACACCACCCCCAAAGGTCATGCTCCACTACCTCCTGCATCGAATGGCTCACCAGCGTGGAAGTCGATGCCCACAGCCAGGGAAGTCCCGGACACTGGGACCAGGGCGTCCGACTTGTCGTTGGGATCCAGGGGGATTCCGCGGATCCCCTCATGCACAGAGTACAGGAGGAAAGAGCCCACGCCTGAAACACAAGAACACTGCAGGCATGAGCCTCACCGACACCCCTTTAAACTTGGCTTCTGTCACCCTCACACCTGTTCTTCTATACAGCCCCTTAAAAATATATATACATAATAATAAAAGCATAATATGCTAATTAGACTGGACAGCCAAACGACCTTCCAGACAAAGCTGGGGCTGTGAGGGCCAAGCCCCTTGCACAAATTTTGTGCATCGGGCCTCTAGCATATATATATATATTTCAGAGAGGAAGGAAGAGGGAGAGAGAGAGAGAGAAACACTGATTGGCTGTCTCTTGCACGCCCCACACTGGGGATCGAGCCCACAACCTAGGCATATGGCCTGACCTGGTATCGAACTGTGACCTCCTGGTTCATAGGTCAACACTCAACCACTGAGCCATGCCCGCCAGGCCTCTATGCATTCCTTTTGATATCCCCCGCCCCCCCCCCCCCTCAGCTATCACACTTCCCTCTCAACACACATATATACACACACCCTAGCCTGGGCAGGGCGGTCAGCTCTCTGGGAGTCAGGAGAGGGACGCACGCTGGGGAACTACCTGCAAGACCTCCAGCCCCCACTAGAGGGCGGCAGAGGCCTGGATTTCTCTCCCTGTGCCGGGCTCTCCAGGCCACTTGCCTCAATACAACCCAGCAGCCTCCGAGGCCATGACGGAGAATCTGGGAAGGTTCCGACAAGACACTGCACTGCACTGACTCCCACATTTAGATTCCCACCCTAGTTTCCTCTTTGTCCTTCCCTCTCTCAACACCTGAAGCTCAGCATCCCCAACCCCTCACCCCTGAGCCCGTCTCATTCCCGTTTCCCATTGCTTATGGGGAGCCTTATTCACGCATCCCAGAATCCTCCCAGGCTTTTACCACTCGATACAGTGCATCCCCAAATGAGTCCCCAAATGGGCCTTGGTAGCTCAGGCTCCATGAAAAGAAGGACTCATGGTTGAGTGAGTTGGGGGAAACTCCAAACACCAGAGTCTTCCCTTGAAAGATGTTCAGCGCAGACGAGCACATGCAGGGCTCTGAGACAGTCTGCAGCGAGAACCCTCAAACTCGGCTCACCCCAGTGTTGGCTTCTGTAACATTTACCCACATCGAAGGGAGGTGCCCGAGTGCCCCTCAGAAATGCTGTCTCAGGGCACAGGCTGGTAAATCAGTCACCAGGCTCTTGGGAAAGGTCTCTGACTTTCATCTCTTCCATCTCCTAACACGGGATTACTCCAACAGCCTCCGAACTGGTCTGACAGCCTCGGTTCTCCCTCCCCCACTCTGCCGGCGGCGAGCCGCCAGCGAGCCGCCAGGTGAATCTGCCCCAAACACCACTTCCCGGGCTCTCCTGGCTGAGAACTCCTGGCCCTGCCCGACCTCACAGCCCGGCACCACGACTGCCCGCTCTGCCCAGCACTCGGGCGTGGCACCTCAGGGCCCGCCTGTTGCTCTGGACCCCTTGCCGTTGCCTATCAGCCCTCCCCTTTGAGCCACACAACACTCAGATCCTACTGGGCGTCAGGAGAGGAACTGCCTTCAAGACCTCCAGCCCCCACTAGAGCACACCTATGCCACAGAGCTGGCCCTGCCTTTTTTTCTTTTCTTTCTTTCTTTAAATCCTTACCCAAGGATGCTTATTGGTTTTTAGAGAGAGAAGGGATAGAAAGAGAAACATCGACGTGGGAGAGAGATCCATCGGTTGCCTCCCAGACACGCTCCGACTGGGGATCGAACCTGCAACCTTGGTATGTGCCCTGATAATGAATCGAAACCACCGTCTTTTCGGTGTACGGGATGACACTCCAACCCATGGAGCCACCCGGCCAGGGAAGCACTGCCTTGTGACATCTTTCTCCAAAATCCTACTGAAGTCAGAGCCACTTCATGGTCCAGTTTCCCCTACACGTGAGCGCCCCCTTCTGGTTAAGACTGCAGAGCACGGGGACTTCTGTCCCCCGGCTTCCCTCGTGGCACCCAGCACAAGGGCTGACTAAATATCCAACTCAGAAGGCCCTTAATGACACATGACGAATGCAGTCCTGTTGCCAAGGCCGTCGGTAGGACGGCCGGGGTTGGAGACCTGGGTCAAAGCGGGCAGAGGCGGGGGCACTGACCCTCACAGGCCTGCTGGCCACTCCGGAGGCTGTAGCCAGCTGTGCACATGCAGGAGCGGGTCGTCTCTGACGTGGGCAGGCAGAGCTGGGAGCAGTCCCCGTTGTTGACACTGCAGGGGTTGGTGACCTCGTGCCCTGGGGGAGGAGGCGGGAGGCAGAGAAAAGGGTCAGGAGTCCTCCCTGGGACCTCGGTGTTCGGCTCATGCTGCTCAGGGACAGTCACTGCCTTCAGCCTGGGCCTTGTGGGGGTCACCCCCCAACTCAGCTCTCAGGTCATCTGTCCTCTAGTAACCGGGTGGCTGTGAGCCTGTACGGTGCCTCCGTGAGAATTAGAAAGGGGAACCCCTTTGGGTGGTGAGGGGAACCCACCCCATTTTCATTCCCATCCGCTCCCTTGCCCCAGGGTTCCTGCAGCCTTGACCCCTCTGACCCCCACCTCGCCTCCCTGCCCCTGGAGCCCTGTCTCACCCAACTGGATGCTCTCGTCGTAGACCTTCATGTGCATCACTAGGGTGGTGCTGTTCCGCAGGACCACGGACCCAGAGCCGTCAGCCTTGTTGCAGGTGCCCCATCTTCTCCGACACCTGATCTGCCCACCACAGCTTGTCCCCTGGGGCAACAGGAGGGGATGGTACCTGGGGAAGGCCTCCCCAGCAGCGCTCCTGAGGGGCCTGGCAGGGCAGGCAGGCTGCCCCCGGCCCGCCCCCATCTCCCCAGCCAGTGCAGCCTGGCCTGCTCTGCTCCTGTCCCTGCCCCCGCCAGCGGCCTCACCCATGATGGCCAGGGCTGTGGCCTTGCCCAGCTGGTTCCCGCATGGCGTCGATGACCTCCAGGTCACTCCCGTCCAGGTTGCAGCGGTTGATGGTGTGGTTCCCGGAGCTGATCCAGTAGAGTTTGCTCTCAGGGAAGTCAATGGCCAGGCCTGGAAGAGGGGGGTGTCACCGCCGGAGAGCCTGACACCAGGGCTGGGGTCCCAGAGCCTGCCCGCCCGGCTGCCACCTCCAAGGATGTGTTTTGTGGTGAGGGTGGGAAGGATAAGCACTAAGCTGGGAGTCTGGGGAGACAGAGGGGCAACCGGAAACCCTGAGAGCGTGCCCTGGTGGAGGAACGAGGGAAGGCTGTGGGGCAGGTGGGGCCAGCTCATACCCACAGGGC